TTAAACCGTTTTTTAACCAGATTCAACTTGAAACTGACCAATAGATTATTTTCAAACAAGAAAGTTACTGATTTTTATCTTTTTATTCCTTTTCTCTCTTATTCTTAAACCAATGCTTAAGAAATCAATATTCTTCTTCTCACAACATGATATATTTCTATTGGAATAACTGAGAGTCTGAGACTAACAACCCCATTAAGTAACGTACATGAAATCAGGAAACGAGGTTAACTTCAAAACCATTCCATACGTGGTCTGAGATTTCAGCAGATAGTTGAAAGGTGACTTGAAAATAGAGACTTTGAGACAAATTGTCACCACTAAGAAGAAGCCATACAATTTTTGTCATAAGACTCATGACACCATTAATAAGAAGAATACTAATGAGTAATGGAAGGAGAAGTTACAGTTAAAGATCGGGGTTGAAACTTCAACACAAACTTGAAAAAAAAGGCTTTAAAGTAGAGGCTTCAATAGAGACTTTAAAGTACTTTTTGATTTGTCATGTGTGCATGTTGGAAAAGGTATTGATGGATGAGAAACCTTGGAAGTCCAAGTTATGTAATTAGCAAAAGAAATCTCTAATGGGGCGGTGATAGGATAGAAACTTTTAGAAGACTCAAAGTAGCTAGGGGGCTGATTTTTATTTATAGTTTCCATATCTACTAGCATGGGTCACGGGATGCTGTATTTCTACCTTTTCATGTCTACTAATATTTATATATTATGAGAAGCACATAAACCAACGAACTGATAGTGGCTTGGGTTGAAGCAATGAGTTAACACCCCCCCCCCATTGTGTAGCCTTATAAAGCCAAAAAATGAAAGAGATTAATATTTCAAAATTGAACTAATGAATATAATCAAAAGCTCACATTTAGTTCTTACTAGATTTTATTATTGATAGAACAATTCATTAAACAAATCTACATTAGATTAAATTAAAAACAAAGGGAAAAACCTGAACCCAAGGAAAGGAGCAAAATAGAGGGAAAAACCTGATAACTCAAGGAAAGGAGCAATGATTTGTTTAGATTGGTTCACCCTAGGTACTGGTGGAGAAATTTGGGTTTTTAGACATTAATTTGTATCCAAGGTAAGGTTCATATTTAGGTTGATTCTTAATCTAACCCAACCCATCTAATTTACACCCTACTTTATTAGAGAGAGCCAGAAGGGATTAAGAGATATTTAGAAAATAAGGCTCAATGGAGAGGGGAGATGTTACAAACATTGACATTAAGGTGAGAGAGAGAGAGAGAGAGAGAGAGAGAGAAAGAGAGAGAGTAAATATGGCTTTTATTAGAGATAATAAAGACTCATGAGGTTTTTAATGATTTAATATAAAAATAAATATGTACATATGTGAGAAAGGATAGGAGGAGGTATGTGAAATCTCTAGTGAGAGGACCCTCACCTCCTTTCTTTCCTCTTTATATTATACTAGTAAATTTGCAGGTGGCAATTTTAGATGATGAAGATAATAATATACATTCAAATATTATGTCCCAAAGAGAGTAATATTATGTCTATAATATAATTCTATATGAGAGATGTTCTAAATTTTTCTACAAATATTATGTATTTTTTTGTATATATTTTGTATATTTATATTTTTTTAATTTTTATTATTTAATTATGACATAATGGCTTGACCCATATGACCCAAATGGTTGAATTGCTTATCTACTACCTAGACAAAAGGACAATTTCATTTTTTGGTTTAATCTTGAAAAAAAAATGAGATTTAGGGTCTGTTTGATTTGTAGATAGGACCAAAAGTAATTTTATTAGTCTATTTATTATTTTTTATTACTTTATTAATATTTTATGAATATATAATTATTATTTTATTAGTACTTTGTTATTATTAATTTATTAGTATTTATTTCATTATTACTTTCTTATTAGTTTATTAGTTTTTATCGTTTTGATTATTATTTTAGAATTAATTTATTATTATTGAATAATTAATATGTTATTACTTTATTATTACATTAATTATATTATATATATATATTATTTGTACTTAATTATTCTTATTATTTAAAAAATAATATTTTAGCTTTTTTTATTACTTTGTTTTTATTATTTTATTAGTGTTTATCATTAATCTATGAATATTTTATTAAAATATCATTATATTATTATTACTTGAATAATCTTTTTATTATTATATTTTATTCTTATTTTCTTATTGGTTTATTAATATCTTATTATAGTATGATTATTTTATAAATATTTTACTAATATATTATTATTATTATTATCATCATCATCATCATATTATTGTTACTTTCATAATACTTTAGTGTTTAATTCTGTATTTATTTTTATTATTACTACTTTAATTATATTATATTAATACTTTTATTTTATTATTAATATATTATTACTATTTTTGTTACTATTAACTTATTATTAGTTTACCAATAATTTATTATTTTATTAACATTAGGGTTTGGGGGCCTTTTGTCATGAGTTTTTTATTTCTTGATAGACTCTCGTATGGGAATCCCATTCCCGGAGGAAGCCCGGAATGGCTATTCCCCCAAGAATGGGAATCGGCATCCCATTCCACCATATGGGTGTTAGCACCTTAAATATATGACTTAACGAGAGAGATTTCAATGAGGTGAAAAATAATAGTTAAAATTACATGTTTTGGCCTCACAATTACAAAGGGACTAAATTCAAATTCATTTTTTATATTTTCATGTGTATAAAAGTAATTATTATTTATGGAACTTGTTTTTATTTAATAAGATGAATATACAAATTAGAGATGCACTCAAATCTTTTTTGCAAAATTTATGTATTTTCATTTTTAATTTTTTATTATTTAATTATGACATCAAATATTGACACATTTGACCTAAGAGTTCAATTGTTGACCCAGACCAAATAGGAAATCATTTTCATTTTTTGATTGGTTTTGAATTTGTATTTCATTTCCATTATAAATAAAAATAATTCTTGTTTATGACACTTATTTTTCTTTAACATGATTAATAGAATATCGTTGATTTGGTCAATAACCCACTCACCCAAGTGGTCAAACCGTCAACCCTAACAGTGGTTTTTGGCCGTTGTTTTTTAATTTTGTTTATTTTTTAAGTATAAGTGGGCCATCCATTCAAATTGAATAATCGAACCATTTAATATAAAAACCAGTCCCTAGAACGGTACCGTCTCCGGTCTAGTTTTTAAAACCTTGCATTAAGCTAATAACATTTGAGTTCCCAACGCAACCGCTTCCCTTAAATACCCTCACAACTCCTAACGCTGAAAAACCTTGCATCTTCTCACTACAGCCTACGTTGCAGTAATAAGCCTGTGATGCATTGTGGCATCCTGGCCTCGTATCGCAAATTGTCATGATCCCATGAACGTGATTAGACCTGTTCACGGGCCAGGCCAGTCTGGGTTCGGGTCAGGCTTTGTTTTTGTATTAACAAAATATTTTCAAACCTGAGTCTGAGCCTAGTCCAACCATCGGTCCTAGGTTTTGAGTTCGAATCCAAGCCTGACCAGAAAATTGGAAAAAGATTTCTTTTTTTTTTTATTCAATAAGAAATTGTTTTATTTATATTGAAAGACTTTAAAACCTAATGAAAGGCCTCACTATTACTTGGAAAAATAGAAAAATAATAAAGAAAAAGTATTATATATAATTATTTTTATTATATAAAATATATTATTAAGTCGGGCTTGGGCTTGGACCAGTCTTTTTGAGAAAGCCCAAACTCGTGGGCCTGAAATCTTGTTCAAACCCGACTAAAATGGAGCCGGCCTATCAGGCTACCCGGCCCATAACCTTGTTCCATGACCTCACTCCGTGGGCATGCCTCAACTTCATTCCTTAGCCTCACCCCAAGGGGCATTCATTGCAACTTAGCCTCTCGACACTGCCTCACATGCTGAGACCATAGCAACACTTTGGACGTTTTCAAGACAATTTTCCAACAACACACAAAACTAAGACTCCGGATCTCCTGCCCACATTTACCCACAAAACACTATCCCCGTGAATTGGGAACATCTCCCTCTGTACTATACTATGTAGGAGGATGAGATATTCTCTATATGTGACTGTGATATTATATGGGTAGACGTGGATAAAATTTATGTGGGCAGGAGATCCGGACTCACTAACTAAGCTTCTAACTTTCTAAGAAGCAGTTGCTTTCATGCTAGCATACAAATTCAGGGAGAAAAGGGATCTTTGGTATCAGCATACCCAGATGGACAAGTGACAAAATCCTAGCTCATTTACTAGCTTCGGATCCAACAAACTCAGGAACGCTTTCCCAAAGCCAGAAAGTTTCCCTCCTTTTCCCCAAGGCATTCTCTATAAATAAGCAATCTCCAAGGATCTCTAGATGGAATTCCACCCAAAGCACTGAGTAAGCTCTACTGGTTTGAGATCTCAGCCTCATTCTCTCTTATATATCTATATAGTTAGTTAGTTAGATAGTAAAGTGGGTACTTGGCATCCCCAAAATTTGAACTAAAATGTTAGGATTAGTCTCTAACACTCCTCCAACTCCAAAAATTTAAAAACTTTTGTTTGTTTATTCTTTAAAAAGGATATATAGACCCAAGCCTTTTCTCCCCATTTCTCTCAAAACCCTACCTCTTCTATTGTCTATTTCATTTTCTTGTTTAACTTAACCCCCTAAAAGAAAATTCGTGATTCTAACACTAATTTGATAGATTAAAAATAAATAGCTATTGATAAATAATGAATTGCTATTGATTTAAGAATTCATGTGGTTTCTAACTGATTAAAATCTTTCAGGTATCATACCTTTCCCTATCCCTATGATTGAAATTGCCTTTATAAAACATCCAACTTTTAGGTACCATTCAACTCAACCCGTATTTACCGTTCAGCCATGATTTGAATTTTGAAAGATAAGTAAAAGTTGTAAAAGAGGTCTTAATTGATAACAATTAATTGCTAATGATGCACCGAATACTATATAACAGAAACTAACCTGTAAAGGCGGAGGGCAATTAGAATCCAAATAATCTTTCAATGTCATATCTTCTTTGTCAAGAGCATCACCACCCGTAAAAACAATGATCATATAGTCTGTAATATTATGTCCAAACAGACCCCTCAGGACCTGAATTGCATTTCCTTCTTCTTCTGTAAAACGGTTCCTAACAGAGAGTTCAAAAAGAACTGCATGAATCCCATCCTTTGCTAGATTGACACAGTTAGCAATCTCTTTGCTTACACTCTCGTTTCCAAGTGAAAAATCAAATAATCCTGCAAATATAATTAAAGCTTAATCAAGTTAGAACACAGCTGGATTACCAAACTCTGCATGTAGGTAAATCGAACAGTAAGTATTTGGTAGGGTGCAAGTGGGGTGGATTGGGCATTGGGCCTAAGGGCTGAGATCAGACTGGATCTGAGGCAAAGGCTAATCCCTTCAACCCAGGCCTAGCTTGTACTGTAATTGGATGCACTTGGATTGGATTCAGGATCCGTATATGTATCCATAATTTGACAAAACTCTATCCATATATGTATAAATGCATTTATATATAGTTGGAAAAATTGAAAATGTTAGAACACCCTCCGTACCACGTGCATGCAAGAATATTGTGATATCAAGGGAGTTGTTCAGAGAAGTAATGTATAAAATGTAACCATTTCACGAGAATTAAACAACAAAGCATTTTCTGCTTACCAGGAGTGTCGATCACATTCACAGCTCGACCATCTTTTAGAACACCCTTCTCAAGCTTAGCTGTTTTTGTTACTGAACCAGAAGCCAGTTTTGTTTCCAAGGCTTTCCTTTGAAGAATGCTATTACCAGTCGCACTTTTGCCATTGCCGGTACGGCCAACTAGGACCAAGGTTATTTCATTCGGATTGGACAAGGCCATCGTACAAAGTACCTGCATAACAAGAGGAATTCATCATGGCAGTGTCTCACAAACGGTGTTGTATATGTGTGGGTTGGAAGTATTGTTTTCTTTTTTTTTTTGTTAGGAAACGTTGCTCTCAGGTAAGATATGTTTCTTAGGGTGATAACGAAAACCTTCTGTTTGTTATCATTGTTCCATGTATATTTTCAGCACAGGTATCTATTATAGGAAGTCGACATCACTGTTACATCATATCCTCATTGGGAACAATGAGTTCTAAATTGAGAATACATCGAAATTCCATATTTTCCTAGACCATGTCTTTTCGATTTTCAAATTAAGGCATGGCTTGAAGCACCATCTTTTTATAAAAGAAAAAAAAAAAAAAAACCGATTTTTCTAACATGATGCTGATGTATCACCATTTTTTAGAGCAATGGCACCGTTTCCAAACACCAACTAAGAGGACTGAAATAAAAGCTCGGAATAGCAACCTGACCCGCACTTCCCTAGTTTAGGCGGTTTTTCTTTGGGTCGGGGCAGGTTTTTGGAAAACCCGAAACTGATCAGGTGATGGGTGGGGATGGTATTTGTCCAATTAAAACTCTCCATAAATTTTGATAGGGTGGATCAAATCCAGCCTCGTATTTGGGGTACATGTGTTCCGTTGAGATTCTTAATAACGGCTACAAATTGGGTTAGGTTAGTCTGAACCCAAGCCTAAAAAGTAGGATTCGGTCAGGTTGTAGTTGGAATTAATCTTCCACTTGGAAAGTATGATCCCAATTTAGCTTCAGGTTACGGGTTCAGGGCTCCTTGCGCAACCCAATTTAACAAAATGTATATACATATATGTATGTATGTATTTATTATATATATTATAATTGTAATTTTGAATGAAAAATTATTGTAGTATGATAAAAATGATATGGAAAAATCTATGATGCAAGAAAAGCATGGTATCATGGAAAGAGTTTTCATCAATCAAAACTCATTCATGAATTTTGATAAATAATACCTGATTGGGTATCACATTTATGATTCTAGTTGATTAGTCAAAAAATTTTCAGATATCATATCTTTTCGGTATCACGGGCAAATCTTAAAATAATATATATAGTTGATAATCATAACTTTGTCATGCACATAAAATTACGCTGAAACTATAGGGGTGAGCAAACGGTTTATTCGGTTAAAAACTGAACCAAATAAATTGAAATTTTTAAAATCGAAATTTTAAATGAAAAACTGAACCGAAATCAAAATTTTCGGTTCAGTTTTCAGTTATTTTGGTTAAAACTGAATTTCAACACTATATACGTTTTAATATGTATTGTAGCATATATTTTAATTCATAATATATATTATATATTAAAAAATATATATAATAAATTATATATTTTAATATATAATATAATACAATATAATATATATTATACATATTATATATGTATTATATGTTAATATATATATATATATATATATTATAGATAATAAAATTCAGCTAATTCGGTTTTTTTGGTTAACTGAATTTCTAAAACTGAAAACCGAAACCGAAATTTTACAAAACTAAAAAAACTGAACCGAAATAACAAAAATTTGAAAAAACCGAACCGAATAATACTTACCCCTAGAAACTACTATTCCTATTCTTAAATCTTAATAAAAACAAATTAACAAAAAAGTGAAGAAATTGGGCCAACTTAAGACCAACCCAACCCAAAAAAATTCAGATTGGATTGGGATTAGGAATAGAGTTAAACAACTCAATTGGGTAAGAGTTGATCTCAATCTGACCTATAATCGAACAGGTTTTGCACTCCTAGATCGCAAGCATTAAAAAGCAAAAAACCCATGTATATATGCCATGGCACATCTTGTGCTCTGGACGACCACTGTATATATACAACTAATCTGGAACATTCCATGTACATACCGAAAAAAAAGGAAAGAAATAAATCCTTTATGAAGAACTCATAAATTGGTTAACTTACTTTTCTGATTGCTGGAATAAAATTTATATTATCAAATATTTCATACTCAAACGGTCCAACCTCATGCTATGCTATGACAGGTATACACTAATTAATATATGATAGACCTCAACAACTGAACATTTAATAAAACCCTAAAAAAAATCAGTAAAAATTTAATGCAAGTAACATATCAAAAATTCTGTGGCACAGTCTCTTCTAATTTAGAAGGGGAAAGCAAGGGAAACAATAATAAAAAAAAAAAGAAAAGAAAAATGAGGGTTGATTCTGATTTTAGCAGAAATACGAAAAACCACTAAATTAATCACTACCACTCAGTTAATGATTTTGATTTTGGATGGAAAACTTTGTTCTCGCTGCAAATTTGACATAAAAATGGCTGAAATATTGAGCAGACTGAATTGTAATTGTATCCAATTAACCAAATTACTTACTGGAGAAACGAGATCTTTTTTGTTGTATGTCTTTGGAACTTTTAAGCAGCTTGTTTGAACAAACGTCCAGGTGAAAACACACATGGAAAAGGTCTAAATTTATAGAAGATGGAAGCCAGAGGTTTGATTGGAATGTCATCATCGACTACAAGTCTACAATATTCCAATTCCATCAGCCCAACTTCCCTCTATACTTTCATGGGATTAAGCCAACCATAGAAAAAACAAAATATGGTGGAATATAAAACATGCACAACAAGGCAAAATGGTAAACCTGATGAGGGGTATGAATGTACAAATAATTGATAAGGGCAAGAAAGGAAAAACAGTGACCAAGAACACAAAATCGTGTTCACACAATCCTTACAGCCACTTACAATCGTGTATTGGGAATATTTCTGTGTTTATATGTTTTTATTTATGAGGAGATATTCTCAATGCATGGTTGTAAATGACTGCGAAGACGGTGTGAACATGGTTTTCTGAGGACTGAATCTGATCTCGTAGACCAAAATAACTAAAGAAGACAATGCCCCCATTTTATTATAGCTAGACTAGTTGAATGGAGCACGGAAGATAAGAATTTGGATTTAGTAGCTACATCCTTGCGAGCACAGTCATGGGCACTTAAAAAATATTCTGACTGTTATCTTAGAAATATACTTTTAAATTTGAAGGAAAAGGTAGGGAAAGGTAGGGAAACCTACACAAGGTCTGTAAAGGTTTCACTACTTTTCCCTTCCTTTTCTCACTTTTTCCTTCAAACCAAACACAGCCTAAGGGACAGATGTTGGAAATTGATAGAATGCTTATTCAGTGTGTATCTATCTCATCTGGATGCTCAGTTCATGAAAAACCAGTACCAGACTTGTCAATAAACATCCATAAAAAAGCTAGTGACAAGAATGAATGGGACGAGAAATTGTACTAAACTTATTTAGATTGGCAACCAAACTAAGGCTTAATTTGGAAAGAGTGCAAATACAAGTATAATATACAATTGTACATTATAATTCTAAGGTTTAGAGTAGTATTATATAAGAATTTGCACTGTACATATTTGCATTTGGACTCTTCCCAAACAAGGCCTAGCTAAAAAAAACAAATATATAATTATAAAGGAACAAAGGTAATCATAAATAGTCTAAAAGAAGTCATTATATTATAATCCTTGGATTGGATGTCTCTTGGGATAAAATTGGAACCTTTGGATTGAACAATGTCACCTCATTTACTCATTTAGAGCAGAATGCATCGGCAGATTGCTTACTAATACAGATCATAGTTCATTTTTAATGGTAGAATTAATTAGTTTAGGGTGGTCTTTTAATAGAGATTATAGTCATTTGCTTTCTTTTTTTTTACCAAAAAGAAAGAAAAAAAAATGAATTTAAAATTGTGTAAGTAGCAGGGGCCAGGGGTGTTTACATCAGACTAAAGTTGGGGCCTGTATGGCAAGAGGAAAGGATAGAAAGGGAAATTGCAAAAATAATAAGGGTAGTGCCGGATATAAAAGCTTCAAGAACATCACTACTCAAGTAGACATGAAATTCTCTTTTAATATAAAGGTTATAGATATAGAGAAATCGTGTGCAGCACATCCGGACTTGGTTTTGATATATGGATTGTGCCCTGTGTACCAAATGAATCGGTTCTCCTATCCTTTTCCCAAAAGAATTGGATTCATTAGAGCAAATCGAATCCTTTTCTTTCTAAAAAATTATCAGAAAAGAATCTGATTATATTAAAAATTTGCTAGAAATTGGACTAAGAGACAGTCCTATCACATTATTGAATGGTAATGCAGTCCCAACTCCAAGCATCTTATACAAGGATTGGATCTCAGTGGGGTGTTTTCCCAAGAGGTTCTTGTCCATTGTGTCCACTGCTTTTGTTCCCTTCTCTATATGTTTACAGAAAAGCTCATATCCTTATGAGCTGATATCCAAGCATTAATCAATAATGGATTCCATTAGAGTTCGGCTTCAGTCAGTGCAAGTCAATTCTCACACAATTGGAACATTCTCTTATAGTCTTGCATTGGGAATATCTCAAAGTTCATTAGTATGAACATATTCCTGATATATACAAGAAAGGCTGCAAAAGCTGTTGGAACGAACGTTGCACTGACTGAAGCCGATCTCATCTTATTACACATTTACACTCCGTTATCCATAAAGGTGGGCTAGGGCTACCAAAAACAATCCATTCGGGTGCAACTTGGCCAGACCCGAACTAAGCCCTGACTAGCGCAACCCAATTGTTTATAGGCTTCGATTTTCAGTCTTTGGTCTGGGCTGGGACCTATCTCCTTATTAATTTGAATCGGGCCTCATCCTAGTCCAACACCAACCTGGCTTGGCTACGTAATATATGCTTCTAACCGATTCTGCAAACAGACTTAGGACCATGTTTAACACATTGGGTCCAATAGGATAACTTAAAAGTCAAGTGGTCCACCAAACCTGGTCCTGGCTTGATCACAACCCAAGTGTTAGGTTGGACCAGGCTGGGTAGATCGGCCGTGACCTCAACCTTAGGCCTTAATCCAAAGTGTCAGAGTTGGGCCTGCACTGAACTTAAACGGCTAAACCCAGCCCAGCCCAGCCCAGCCCAGCCAATTTGCAACCCTAATCATCCCTGCTAGTTTTGTTTACTTTTTTTAGTGGTATTCCTGGTGGATTCATTGTGCTTGCCTACGTGATTTCTTGCAATGCAATCAATTGATTCGTATCCTACCCTCTATGTCTTTGAACGAAGCATGCAAGTTGAGTTTAATTTGCTCAAGTTAGGATAGGTTTTACACATAAAAAGTAGTTGCTTTAAAGCATTTTTGAAAAAGTATATGCTTTAAAGTTTAAACCATTTTTGAAAAAGTAGATACTCAACTCTCAAGGAAATTGCAGAACTTTTGTTTGTTTAAAATACCCTAATTTTTGAATTCAATCCCTCTATAATTGTAAGAACAGAAATATAATTTGAACAACCACTTTTCTTCTTATTTAAATCCCTCTCATTAAGGCATCATTTGGCATTCCTTATTGTAAGGACTTATCTCCTTTTTACAGTTAAAATGCCCTTAAACACTAAGTTTTTAACTACAAAAAGTAGATAAGCTTTTAAAATAAGGAATGACAAATGTAGCCTAAGTATTATATTTAAGGTATTAATGTCTATTAGCATTAATTGAATCATATTCTTAACTAGAATACCCTTATTTTTTGAATTTGGTCTCTTTCTAATTGTGAAAGCACAAAATGTAATTTAAACTACTCCATTTCTCCTCATTCAATTCCCTCTCATTAAGTCTTATTCTGAGTATTAATTCTCATTCTTTCATTGAACCTTATATTAATTAACCATATTAAAGAAAAATAAGTGTAATAAAGAATAATTGTTTTTATTGATGATAGAATAAAATACAAATTCAAAATCAACCCAAAAATGGAGTTGTCGAAAATATATGGGCACAAATTTAAAATAAGAAAAGTATAAAAATACAAAAAAATATCGAAAATTTATGGATACATGTCTAATATCGTATATTCATCATATTAAACAAAAATAAGTGTGACAAATAAGAATAATTTTTCTTAGGCCATGTTTGAAAGTGATTTTCTAATCGGCTTGTTGTGCTTTTCATGTCAAAGAAGCTTAAAGCCAATAAAAAATCCATCCACCAAAAAGCTCAAAACAGGATTTTTTTGCATCAAAATAAAAAAAAAAGCACTTCCGAAAAAGTAAAAAACAAAAAGATCCATTTGTCACTTTACCTATGCAAGAAGCCCAATTCAAAAAGTGATGACCAACCAAACACAAAAAAAAACTACTTTTTGAAAAAGCCCAATTCAAAAAGTGACTTTGTAGAAGCATTTTTAGGGATTGCCAGGGGCGTAGCTAAGGAGGACCTGGGGGTCATGGCCCCCATATGGCTTGTCAAAAGTCACTTAAAGGGCTGTTTGGCAAGTCTTTCTAAATAGATCCTTCAACAACCCAATAGACAAGAAGATATACAGAACCTTTGGGGTTTTATCTTTAAAGATCAAGACTGTTTGATTCCCTGGTCTGTTAAAAACAGCTGAGAAGGCTTTTTTCAACATAAAAAGACTAAAAACTTTATTTTAAACTTCTTGATTTTCAGCTTTTTCAGTCTTTCCATGCGTTCGTCTTCCAGTGTTGTGGTCTACACGATACCAAATGGAAAAAAAGACAATTTTTTTGGTCTTCTAAGCTTTCCATAGACTGAAAGATGCACCAAACACCACTTAAGTATACTGGGGACTAGGTCAAGGGCTCAAGGGTCAAACAATCAAACGGTTAACAGTGGACTTGACGACCTCCTGTAACCTGGTGTTTGCAAAATAAAAGAAAAACAAAAACTTAAAAAGAACTGAACCGAGAACAAAAGAACCTTTTTCAAATTTAACTGTAGCACTGTTCACCTTCAAATCCAAGCACAACGCAAACTTAAAATTAAAAAATCAAAACAGAACCATCTGAAGTTCTGAACCTTTCAACTGGTTTGAAGACTTGAACTTTTGATTTCTTGGATATATAGAAACTATAGAAGTGTTGTGCATAAGTAAACTAAAAGTTTTTTTTTTTTTTTAATTTTCTATTTTAAAATTTAAATCTCTTTCATTCTTTAAAGTTTCTACAAATTAATAAATTCAAGAATGGTCTTGTTTTCTTTTTCTAATTTTTTATTATCAATTTGTCACCGAGTGCGTATTTTGGAATTGCTTCAATCTTTAGTAGTTGCCAACTAAAGGGTGGATCAGTTGGTATGTTAGCTGGTTATTTGTGGTGCTGCCAGCAGAGACCGGGATTCAAATCTCACTATCACTAAACTTTGGGGAGCGGGTTATTTGTGGTGCTATGAGGCCTGTGCTACACTGCTACTCAAACTGGGGGATTCAGGCATATCACCAAATATATAGAAAAAAAGAAAAAAAAACGATAATACTAATTCATTGGAAGTTGGAATAACAAAAACAGAAAAAGATTACGCATTGCATATTTGAGGTACAATTAGACTTGTGCATGGATC